GATACTGAGGGTTAAGACTCAAACATCTTTTAAGGGGAATAGGATTCAACCCTATAGCAACATATTACAAGAATTATGTAAAATAGCCTCATATTAAAAGGGCTTTTAAAAACATAAAACATAAAAATTTACATAGTCCAAACAATCTCATCCTCCTCAGGCTGGGACTAAGAGAGTCATAATCCAACAGCAGTATTTCTCTGATTTTGGCTCTAACAACTTTGCAAGAACTCCAGCTCCTTGAGGTGTCCCCAGGTTGTTTTTGGGGTCACCAGGGGGTGACTCTTTTGCACTCTGTAGACTACTCCCTTATCTTGTATGCACAATAGTATCCATCACTTTTCTGGCTGCTGCTTTAGCTGATTGAGACAATGTAATCTGCCCTTGCTGATACCCAAAGCCCCTGCCACTTTTCTCTTCTGTGTCACCACTGCTAGCAGATAGTGAATCCATCTTTTTGACACTATTAGGCAATTGCCACATAGTTCCCACATATCGCTATTGTGTTTCATTGGTATAATTATCCACATGCCCGTTCTATATGGTCTTAACTCTTTTGCTGCAATGTTTGGATATGTTTTCCTGTGGCTTACACTATCAACAACAAAGATGTTTTGTATGCCATATTGTGTAACATTTTGTAATAAATTTTTTATATCATCAATGCCATTAGAGTCTAATTTATCTATACTTAAATCTAATTGATGCCACTTAGTATGTCTTGAGTATTTTTTTGCTAAAATTCAATATAATGGTAAATTTATTACCATATAACAAAGGTTTAAAATAAAAATAAAGCTGTATCATAAGTGTTATTATATGATGGGACAGTTGCTTCCACTAACACCCATTTCTATTTTTTCCCTTCTTCCTCAGAAATGTCTTGGCTGAGCTTGGACCTTTGCTCTTCTGCATTATATACACATTAGAATTAGCTTGTCAGTTACAAGCAAAAGGTTATATTGAGGTTTTGATTGAAATGTCATTGAATCTATTGACTTTTTCATATATTGAATCTTCCTTCCATGTGAGAAATTACCTTGATGCCATGATAGCCTCTAAGTATACCAGGCAAACTATTCCAGACATCATAGAACAGAAAGGCTTATGGCTAAATTAAAATGCTCAAATAACATGGTTTATTGAATCACTTTAAAACACACAGTGAGAAACAAGGGAAAGAGAGGAGTAGGTAGCACACTTGGAATAGGGTCCAAGCTGGGTGGAAGGCCCACAGTACCTGGCTCCTGTTCTCTCTCCACCAAATGAGCTTTCCCACTGGTGGTGTGGTTACCAGGACCAGACTTGTGGTTTGAGCAAAGCAGCCCAGACAGAAGGTGCCCTAAACCAATGATACATAATTGCCCCATTGGAGAAACTCAGGGGAAAGTATACCTGGTCTCAGCTGTAGCTTTTCAATTAGCCTGTTGACTAATCTTGAGTTCCATTTGTATTTACTAGGTAGAGGACACATGGGCCAGAATGGGTTGTAAAATTGGGTGGTTGAATTAAGGCCTCATGAATACTGAGTGGTTTCATACACGACATATACTTCGTGTATCCTGAATACTAAGTGCCTCTTGCATATTTAGTATATCATGAATATTTAGTTTTTTAGTGCCTCATGAATATTAAGTATCTCTTGGTCCTTGCTTCCCTTTCCATTTAACACATACATGTGCTACATACTAACTCCTTATCTATATACTTAACACATTTAAAGAGTTTCACTGATCTCATTTGTTTTCTTTCATAGAAGAATTCAATATTCTCAGAAAATACAGCATTATACTAACTACCCAAGAACATTGTATATTTAATTTGGTTTAATTTATTTGAATCTCTTTTAATATCTTTCAATATGTTTATTCCCTCCTTAAAGTACTTGTTAATATTTTTAATGATTTGTTCCCAACTACCTTATATCTTTTGTAGATATTGTAAATGGATCTTATAAATCTTTAATAACACTTTTACTGACATACTCTCACCCTATTCAGGCAATATGCTATAGTTGAAAGAACACAATCTTTTGAATCAGGTAAAGTCAGGTACTATACTTACTAGCTATGTGATCTTGGGCTTCTCAACATCTTGGAAGATCAATATCCTCGTTTATAAAGTAAAGATACTAAGACCTACCCATAGCATTATAGTAAAATTTGAGGTATTTTGTTGTGTGGAGCTTTCTTGTGCATTGTAGGATGTTTAGCAGCATCCCTAACCTTTATCCACTGATACCAACAGCACATTCCCACCCACAGTCAAAAAAAAAAATGAATGAGAAAATGTATATAATGTACATAGAATTAGTAAGTTCTCAAATATTGGAAGTTATTATTAATGAGCCATTCTGGGCATCTGGATAACTGAGTGTTTATATTTTATGATCCTATAATCTCTTAATTTAATCAGATTTAACAAAAATATTTCCAATACATATTAAATATCTGCTTCCAAACAGAAAATACAGAATACAATTTAACATTTCATTGATGACTTAAATCATATTCATGAATTATTGTAATTTCAATAGATGGGGAAAGGAATATACACGCAAATGCCTATAGTGCTCTAGGCCATTTATGTCCACCATAGGATTTCTTTCTCATAATAGCTCTTAGAAGTAGGCACTGTTATCCCTATCGTATAAAGGAAGAAGTTGAATTACAGAGAAGTTAATTTCTCTAATATTAAATCACTGCTAAGTGACCAGGCCTGTCTGGAAAGCTTATGGCCTACTCACCACACCAGGCAGCCACATGATAAATCTTTGAGAATGATAATACATGTGGGGCTATCTGCCCTTATATTAAATGGCTCCAGATACTGTGCTTTTTGAGTGTGTGTGTTTGTTTTGCTCTGCTGTAGACCTGAGTAGCAGGCCCTATTGATTCCCTAGGCCATCTTTGTGTGGCCATCCTTCTCTGTAGCCCATACCTCATATTTGTTCCTTGCTAAGAGAACCCCTGCCTGCTCAGGTCTAGGGCAGCCTTGTGACTTCAGGGAGGCTAGACCCCTCCCCAACCCCAAAGATCTTGACTGGTGCCAATTATTGTCATCGATTCTCCTTGCCAATGACTAGTTTAGGTGTGGGCATGTGAAGCAATTTGGGCCAATGAGACATGACAGGCAGTCTATTAGGGGCTTTCAAGCAGAAGTTTGTCCTAGCTGATAATAATAGACCCATGGAAGAAAATGATTCCTCTTCTTCAACTTGATGACATACCATCTTATATCAGCTTGTAGCCAGTCATATGAGGACAAGCCTCAGGGCAAGAACCAACATGCGAAAGATGACAGAGTGAAAAATAGAAAAACCTCACCCTTTAATGATACCATTGAAATTAATATATTGTACATTCCTAGAAGGTACAGCCTAGGTCCCACAGCTGGTGATTTTGTTTTGTTTTGTTTTGTTTTGTTTTTATCTCTATGCCATGCAATGTGCTGAACAATATGTAATACCTTACATGCCTTCTTTCTAGTACGGAAAAAACATTTGAAAAATAAGATCAAAGTTAAGATGGTAACAAAATGATTAAGAGAACCATGTATTCTTTTCTTTGTATTTGTTCTGTATACTTATTTAGGAAATAATCCTATCTCAAGACTATTCCACACTTAAAAAAAATCATGTTAGGGCTGACTACTTCGTTAAAAAAAATCATGTTAGGGCTGACTACTTCGTTACTATAGGAAAAGCAGCAAGGAACGAGATAAGATGCCAGGCAGGTGTTCATTATTGTGCCCGTTTGTAGAACATTGAGAAATCACTATCTTGTCCTTAAAGAGGTGTGTCACATGGGAGGAAGGTAGCAAAATGTTTATCAGGCTCTGAATCCCCTCTGCAGGTCCGCCTACATGGTACACCAGAGGTACCACTATAATCGAGTCTGGTTGGCGAAGTTGTCTTCAGCGTTTTAGGTGTGAAATAACTCTTTACCACTGCTGGTCATATTATTTTTGGTTTTTTCCTCTTTTCCCCCTACTTTTGGAAGCTTAAAGTGTTCTTTTTGTCTAAAAGCATATTAACATGAAGCATTGCAAGAGCTTTTGTACTAGCTGTTGATAGTTTGCGAATCTACCCATGGGCAAAGTAGGACCTATCCACTCTTACAACCTATTTACCTGAGCCTCCCTTATAAATTGTCAAAGATATTCAATGAATTATGGTATGAGTGAATAAATGGGTGCTAGTGTAAAATAAATGTAAATAAATTTTGACTAAGGTTTTCACTCATTCGTTCATTCTCCTTGCTGTTGAAAAATTTATTATATAGTCATGACAAAGTAAATAGATAATTGCAATGAGGAATTCTAGGCTTTATGCTAGAAGTATACACAGGGGATTGTGGGAGAACAGAAGAGCAACTTTTAAAGATGCGTCTTTCAAACAGAGAGAACAGCATGTTCAAAGGGACAGAGAATTGTACATTGTCTATTGTGACTGGAGTGAAGAGCTAATGAAGAGCTAATCTTCACACCTATCTTCTGCTTCCAACATTATTCCGAGAACCACTATCCTCATTACATTAGTCTTTGCTCCTTTCAATTTAGCTCTGGGAGCAAACTCAAGTCATAAGGTAGAAAGGACAGATGGGCAAATTTTGAGCCATGAGTGAGCAGAAATGTTGACTCAATCCATGGGGTAAAGAAAATATATGAGCCCAAAAGAGTAAAGAGTGTGTGAGTCAGCTGGAAATTGGAAGAGAAGCAAACAGATGCCCTGAAACAGGCACAAAGAAAGTAAGGCATATTACAAGGGAGCCCATAATAGTTCTAGACTTGAATTCCTGAGGTATCGCTATTTTCCTTACTGATAATTACCACCTTAAGAAAGTTGATCTGAATGAGTTTCTGTTCTTTACAATTCAGAGAGTCTAATGAAAACCAACCTCTTCAATATACATCCTCTCTGTTGAGTAAGATTCTTCCTTCACTTTCCCACAAACATGTCATTTTTATTTCCGCCTGCCTTCCACATTTTTGTCATTTACCTTAGATGAATTTCCTTTTCCTCTCTCCAACTAATTATTCAGTGGACATCTTGAGCCTGAACAAAGGTGCCGACACTTTGCTAGATGCCAGGGCTCCTGAGATGACTCACACATGGTCCTCGCCTTCAAAGTTGGAAGCACCTAAACATCTAAAGAGATATGATTAAAGTAATTATGGTGTTCCTGACAAAACAGACCACTTTACAGCCCTTAAAATCATTTTATGAAGAATACTTAATTATATGGGGAAATTCACATAATCTATTGAAAAAACAGGTCAGGGTAATGGTAGAGAATATAGGCTTTAGGCTTTGTAGTCACATCAGCCTACATCTTAAGTGGGCTCAGACACATTCAGTGCATGACCTTGAACAAGTCACTAAACTTTTCTGAGCCTCAATTTCCTTATAGATAAAATGGGAATAATATAGTATCTACTTGTATAAGGTCCTGGTGATAATTAAATTAGGTAATATATGCAAAGTACTTAGCATGATGCCAGCTCATAATACATGATCAGTAAATGCTGTCCATTATTAGTTTATCCTAGCATACTAACAAAATTAAAATATACATTAAAGCATGAAAGGAAATATTGTAAAATGTAAGTAATGAATGATATTATATCTGTGTGATATGAATACAAGTGATTTCTATTTTCTTCTTTTTACTTTTATGTGTTTTCTATATTTCCTACAATGACAATGTTTTACCTTATAATACGAAAAAAAGTTATTTGAAACAATAAAGTTCTTTAAAATAGGTTAAATATTTTCAATTTGATTTTTTTAAACAAGTCAAATATTACAAATTTTTAATTAGTAAAGTTAGAATTAGATTCCATTGTAGTTTAAATTGTGACATTATTCTAAACAACACGCTTAAGTACTTTAATTGTATTTTACAATTTAACAAATATGAGAAGATTATGAAGGACAATGAACTTTCCTTAGAAAATAAAATATACCGAATGCATGCTTAGATAGAAAGCTCTGCTTAAAATGAAAAGTTTTAGATTTAAATTTGTTAAGATATGGTGTGTGTGTGTGTGTGTGTGTGTGTGTGTGTGTGTGTGTGACCATGGCAGCAGAATCTGACATAGCATAAAATAAAATAAATAAAAATTGTGAACACTGTTGGTGAAGATGAGAGAAAAGCAGTGCTAATCACTTGGGCAGATTACATAACTACACCAATGCCTGTATTGAGGAATCACATTCTACCTATTCAAAATTGAAGGCAAACTAAATAATAAACAGATACAGCCTCAGAAAACAAAGAACACCTAAGATATTCATGAATCTGGAGGCATCACACCTCCTGATTTCAAACTATGTTATGAAACTATAGTAATCAAAACAGTACAGTATTGGCATAAAAACAGACAACATAGACCAAAGGAACAGAATCACGAGCCCATATATAAACCCATGCATATATGGCTAACTAATCTTTGACAAAGACTCCAAGAAAACATAATGAAGAAAGGACAGCTTCTTCAACAAATGGTGTTGGGAACACTGGACAGACATATGCAAAACAATGAAACTGAACACCTATCTTACACCACCACATACAAAAATCAACACAAAGTGGATTAAAGACTTGAATGTAAGACCTGAAATCATGAAACTCCTAGGACAAAGCATAGGGGATAAGCTCCTTTCCATCAGTCTTGGTCCTCTTGATGGGAGTATAATTGCTGCAGCCACTATGGAGGTTCCTCAAAAAATAAAAAAATAGAACTACCATATGATCCAGCAATCCCATTTCTGGGTATTTATCCAAAGGATATAAAAAAAAGATATTGAAGGGATTATGTTCATTCCATATTCACTGCAGCATTATTCACAATTGCAAAAATACATAAACAATCTAAGTGTCTACCAATTACTAATGAATGATGAATGGATAAAGAAGATATGGTATATGCATATATAGTGGATTATTATTCAGCCATGTTGAAGAACGATATCACGCCATTTGCAGCAATATGGACGGAACTTGCGGACATTATGATAAGTGAAATAAACCAGACAAAGAAAGACAAATATTGTATGATATCGTTCATATGTGAAATCTAAAAAAATAAAAATAAAATAAATATGTGAAGTGGTAGATGTGTTAATTAACTAGATGGGGGGAATCCTTTCAGAATGTATAAGCATATCAAATCACCACAGTGTACAGTTTAAATAAAACAAACTAAATATGAACTTAAAACCTAAAAGACTTTTCCTATTACTATGATATGATACAGGAGCCTGCCTTAAAGGTATACATTTTTATTTATTTTTTTTTATTTTAAAGATTTTTATTGGGGAATTGGGAGATGGGAACAGCACTGGGGAATTGGGGGAAGGG